TGTGTATAATTGCTCCTTGGTATTACATGTAGGAATTCTGGTAACACGCAGTCCCTTCTGGCTTCTTTTGTTTAGCATAATGTTTTGTTTGTTGAGTTATTTTTGGCTGTGCTGGGTTCTCACTGTTTTCGGTAGGCTTTCCCTAGTTGCAGTGAGTGGGGGGCAACTCTTCATTGGGGTGCATGGGTTTCTCATTGTGGTGGCTTCTCTTCTTGCTGAGCACAGATTCTAGGTGTGCAGTAGTTCTAGTACATGGGTTCATTAGTTGCAGCATGTGGGCCCCAGGGCTCTTGGGCTTCAATAGTTGCAGCTTGTGTGCTCAAGAGCGTGGGATCAGTAGTCGTGGTGCACAGGCTTAGTTGCCCCAAGGCAGTGGGATCTTCCTGGACCAGGGATCAAACCCTCGTCTCCTGCATTGGCAGGCAAATTCTTATCCACTCTGCCACGAGGGAAGTCCTAGTATAATGTTTCCAAAGTTTATCCATGTTGTAGTATGTATGTATCAGTACTAAATTCCTTTTTATTGCAGAATATTATTCCATTCTATGAATATAACACATATCATCATGTCCATTTACCAGCTGATAGACATTGAATTGTTTCGATTTTTGAGTCTGTTTTGAATAATGCTGTTATGAACGTTCTTCGTGCATAAGTCTTTGTGTAGATGTATATTTTCATTTGTCTTTCACCCATGAGTGGAACTACCGGTTCACATGGTAAATTTATATTTACCGTTCAGAGAAACCACCAAACTGCTTCTCAAAGTGGTTGCACTATTTCCTATATTTATTACCTTTGATTTTTGGAATTATTTTAAGATTAATTGTCTGTTGTCTATTAAGAAACAGAAAGTTGTGAACCACAGTACAGAGTAGTTATGTAGCAGACACTCTGATGTGACACCCAGATTTTCCGTTAGGACTGAAAGATCTGTCCGTCTGCGTTCTGGAAGTGCTGCCAGCTGACAGTCCGCAGTGTTGTCAGCCCTTTCCAGAACTGCCCTTGGCTAATTGGCCACCTTGTTCAGGGTCATGGCTGCTTTCTAGAGGCAGAATGTATCCAATGACTAGTTGATATGAGCCATGTCACTGTCTTTTTGCCCCAATTGAGGGGGCCATCCAGTTTCAGGGTTCTCTGGGGAGCTGATAGAGGCCCTTGTTGAGACTGCATTACAGCCCCAACTCCTGTCTTCTTTCTTCCCTTCCTCCAGAAGGACGATTGCTACTCAGACTACTATCTAGTAAGCATTCTGCTCATTATTCTGTATTTGTCCATCTGAATTGGTTCTTGAAGGAAACCAGTCTTGAAAACAACGAATTTCTACCTTTTAAATAATATAGAATACATTTATGCTTGTTTTATTAGGTAGATCCCTTTGTTGACAAGAATCAGAGTATCTTGTTGAAGCCTAAAGCCACGTTCTAATCCCTGCATAGAAATCAGCTTCTGTTACCTCAGTATCTACCAAGAGAGGGCAGTGAGATGCTAGTTAAACTAGCAGAACTGTGCTGAAAATAAAGCAGAGTTTGATTATCACAGAAATTCCCAGTACTTTGTTCTCCAAAATAAAAGATATATATATTTTTTGCTGACTCTTCCTATATATCGAGAGATCTGTAGGACATGTAGGGATAACTTCTTTAAAATGTTCTAAATAAAGCAGAATTCCAATGAGTTCCCTTTTTTAAAGGATACTTCTAAGCACAGACTGGGGTTTTAATTTTTAATTAGTGCTTCATTTGAAGCATTTGAACAAAGTGGATTCTTCTTAAAATATAGTTATGGATGACTTATAAAATCATACAACATTAGACTCCAGGGTTTCTTTAGTTCAGTCTCCCTATTTTGTAGGTAGACACCTACACCATGTATGGTGTGAAAGACTTGAGTTCAAGAGTACCAAGGAGAACCATGACTAAACGTTGGTCAGCTGTTTTTTCACTGTACCTTACTCGTCTTCCTCTCTTGTAGTACTTTGGTTATTTGTAGTTTTTCAGGGAGTTAAAAACCCTCATTCATAAAGAAAAACACTACAGAGATCCCCCCGAATAGGATTAGTGATGGGTATTAACATCAGAGAATTAGCCTGACTATGATATTTTCAGTGACTGAGTTTGGCATGTTCCAGGATTTATTTTCTCTCTCTGCATTTCCAGTCATTTAAAATATTACTCTTACCAATAGTTGATAATTAGCATAATTAATTCAGTCTGATCTAATTGACCAGTTACTGTTTTGCATGATTTGGTTTTACTTTGTAGTACCTAAAACTCTTCCCGTGGTGAAATTATATTGTTTAAGAATATAGAACTCTCTAGGAAAGTTCCTAATAAAGTAAGAATCAAATAACCATCTTTGTTAATACCAATATTAAGTTTTCTAACCTCTTTGCTTGGCAAAACCAGGAAATATCCTGCACCAGACCTGATTCAATTTTTAACACTAGTGATATTTAGGGAGCTTCCCACATACTGGTGTCCTTTGTTAAAATCAGAGGCAAAATTCAGTGCCATTTATTTTTTGATGATCTTCTTTCCGTGAATTAAAATTCTCCTTACACTTAATTCTGTTTGTCTCTATAAACAGGTACCCTTGTTGTGACAGAATCCTAAAGAATTACAATGTGTAATTAGAAATGCATTGCTTATTCAGTGGTTTAAGTTTTCCATCTCTTCATCAGTGTGCTTTGAATTTTAGTGGTGTGTGTGTTTGATAACAGAGAAAGATGAGAGAGAGACAGACAGATGGACAGACAAGAAAGGAAGGGACCATTTCTTTGCTGGTCTCTTTGCTTGTTTTCTTTTCTTCCGTATTGAGACCTGTGGTCCCTTTATCACCTGCAGAGTTGGTTATGCTTCAGTTATTGTTTCAACACTGAGGTTTCTTTTTAAGGAGCCTAAAGCCATCTTCTCATCTTCAGTTTAGCACCAGTTTAGCTTTTCCAGTGGTCCAGCTCTGACCTCTGATTTGTCATTTGTTTTCCCTGAACTTTGAGTAAATGGTCTAACTATTCTGAGCCTCGGTTTCTTATACATGACATGTGTTAAGAATACCCAACTCATAGTTTCAGTGTGCAGTGGTAACTATGAAATATTTAACATACAGCATTCAGTCAATATGTGGTATCACTGCTTCATTGTAAGAGCTTCACCTTCAAAAATTTCCTTTTTTTAACTGTTAGTTGCATGGAGCGTAGATAAACTAGAGCAGCTTATGTTATTATATGAGCTCTTTGTTTCCCACTCCATCCCCAAATGGGTGGAATTCTAATAGTGTCAAATAGTCAAACAGCAGGGATGCATGTCTGGTAGAATTTCAGGCATCAACCAATCAAATGGAAGAGTCTGATGGAGCGTCTTTGTTAAGTTTCTCATGACTTCCAAAATTATTCCACATGAGGAGTTTTCCTCTTTTGCCTTTGGGCATGACTGTTGAATTTTGGGAAACTTGAATTTTTTACTGTCAGGATGACCACTTTATTCATTCTTTCATTCCCGTGCTTCCCAGGCCTTTACTCTTTTCTCCCCTATTAATGGTGCCCTATCTTTTGCATATATCAATTAATTTGAAGCATGGCACTTTTTAAAGATTGCTTTGTATTTTCAAGTATCTACTAGATATCCTTTAACTATGATGCATGACTAAAATTTTATTTCTATATTTAAAGCTTGAAAATTTCAATGCTATAGTTCCAATACTTTGATAAGTGTGTGTTGCTAAAAAATAGATTAGTTAAGCCTCAGATTTCTAAAGTGCTATCTTGTAATTCTTTCATTTTTTAAAAATTAAAAATATTATTTTATTGCTTAAAAATAAATTGGGAAGATTTAAAATATATTTTCTTTTTATGAAATGCTATAATCTGGGAGTAGTTAGGTAAGCTTGGAGCTGTTAACAGAGATATTACTGTGAGAATTTAGATAACATTTGTGAAAAAATGTCTTATAAGCTATAAAGTGTTATTTATTTGTGGAATCCTTATTGCCAAAGAAACTGACAACCAGACTTGAAGTCACTGTTATAAATAACAATAGGAATTTTAGAGGAATAAAAATATGGCTTGCAAGTTAATCTCTTGGTTCAAGGTTTGGCTGTGTGCATGCTAAGTTCTTTCAGTTGTGTCTAACTCTTTGTGACCCTACGGACCGTAGCCCACCAGGCTCCTCTGTCCAGGGGATTTCCCAGGCAAGAATACCAGAATGAGTAGCCATTTCCTCCTCCAGGGGATCTTCCTGACCCAAGGATTGAACTCATGTCTCCTGCGACTGCTGCATTGTAGGTGGATTCTTTACCATTAGTGCCACCTGGGAAGCCCCCTGTGTTTGGCTACATTGTCTTTAAGATAATCAGTCTTGCAGTCTCTGAAAACACAAGCAGAAATTCAAAAGTAAAACAAAAAAATTAACACAGAGCTTTCCATGTTCCCACCAGATGCAGAGGACACTTTTTTTGTCCTACTTATTAAGTGATGAGAGTTGGGGTCAGATGTGTTAAAAATTACTACTGTAATGATGTCTGATATTGGTTAAGTATCTCTTTTGTAGTCTGAGAGTCAGGGTGCTTCTTCTCTGACATACCCCTTGCATTTACAATGAGCCTATTTTCTGATGATATCCTTTTAAACAGTATCCATTTTATCACCCAATTAATCAAGCTTGATGGAAAACCTAAATGGAATGTTATTTTTCTCAAAAGAAAAGCACTTTAAAAGTAGTGAAAGGGCAGCTGAGTTAGATGTTTGCAAGTCGTATCTATGGAAAAATAAAATAATGTGCCTTTCCATGGTGTCTTCCTTTTATTAAAGTGTTCTGATGCTGCAAATTACAAAAACACTTATGGCTTATGAAATTATCATTATCGCAAACCCCTTTTCCCTTAATTGTTAGTGTGATAATTTGTGATGGCAAGAAACGGACTCTGGCCTTTTGAAGAGGCATAGTACTCATGCTATGGCTTGTGGTGGCTCTTTTATTAAAAGTCTCACTGTTCCTTTCCAGTGACTCCCTAATTAGCTCAGGCTCTGGCCCAGAGGACTGTGCGTGGCTGTATTTAACTGCCTGGAAAGTGGCTCTGCAAAGATGCTGGCTCAGCGTAAGTAACTGGGTTGTATCCTGGCTGCCTTTTGGGTGAGAGCTTTATTTTTAACTCTGCTCCGTGTTTCAGATGATTGCTAAAGTTAGACTGTAGTGACGAGAACTTGGTTTCAGTCCTCGACCTTTGCTTCCTACTTGGTAGTGTTCATAGCCATTTTCTTCTTCTCTTCTGCCACTAAGAGGTGGAAGTAAAATGATAGGCTTCTCTGGGAAATTTTCCAGAAAATTTTCTGAAAACATTTTCCAGAGTTATATGCACAGTACTTAAGATTTGCTGTGTGTTTCTCTGTCTATAGCTCTTGCAGGAACAACTCTGTCTTCTTTTATTCAGGTCTTCTATCACTGAATGATATAATAAATAACTAAAGTAATACAAAACAAAATAAGCAATTCAGTTGCAATTTCAGGGTGGGAAAGAGGCTATAAATATATGGAAAATAGCACATCCTTGCCCACTAAGAGTGTGTATCTAAGTATAATGTAAGGTAGACTGAAATAAGGGTCAGAGGGGAGTGTTAATGTTAATAATATACTTTAACTCAGAGAGCTTAATAAGGGGATCAGGGAATGTTTCCTGGAAAACGTGTTGTGTGTGAGGTTTTTAAAGATGGGTTTTCTAGGCGAAGAATAGACTGGGGGTATCTCCTAGTCATGAACTGAGAAGAGCCATGGCAAGGCTTGGTGACCAGCATTGATGAATGTGGCATAATGATCGGATATACTAGCAGCGAAAGCTAGAGAGTCAAGGAGGGTCTTGAATCTGCTAGGCTAAGGAATTTTAATATTTTATAGTACTGGATTTTTATAGTACTGGATCTCTCCCAATCGTGTTTGAAACTGTTGAAATATTTCTGTCTTTGTTTTTTGAAAAAACATTATATACCTATTACTTGAATTACTTTGGAGTCATGCTCTTGGTTTCAGAGCAGTACATTTTAGTGAAGCAGAAATCATTTGGAAGACATATCCATGATGTCATTTGTCTTATGTAGTCATCTCCAGAAGGAGTGACTTAAACTGATCAAATGAGGTAATATACATGGACACTTTAAAAGGAATAATGTCAAATGGTAGATTCTATTATTCTGAAGAAAACCCTTGTATAAAGAAAACCTTTATACTATCGTATCTACAATTATTTACAACTTAGCATTGTTTTTCTTTTTCTTTATTCCACACCCTTCACCTTCATTAAAAAATAAAGACAATATAATAACATTAAAGAAAATTTGGAAACAGAAAGGAAAATATACACACAAGTCCCCTCCTCTCATTGAGCTACTTCCATCACTGTAGTCCTGGGTTAGGGCAAAGTTGGATTTTGGCTGTTTTTGCTAGGCTGGATGGCATTTGTTCTCTTTTTATCTTGAGTATCATTCTGACTTTCCCTGAAGAAACAAGCTACTCTTGGACCACATGGTTGGTGTGAGACTGACCTTTTACTTTGTCTGAAGGGATCACGGCATGGCCACATGGCAGTTGTATCATTCTAGTTATGATGATTGGTTTAGGGATGGACATGTGGTCAAGCTAGGGCTTCCCTGATAGCTCAGTTGGTGAAGAATCTGCCTGCAATGCAGGAGACCCTGATTTGATTCCTGGGTTAGGAAGATCCGCTGGAGAAGGGATAGGCAACCCACTCCAGTATTCTTGGGCTTCCCTTGTGGCTCAACTGGTAAAGAATCCACCTGCAATGCAGGAGACCTGGGTTTGATCCCTGGGTTGGGAAGATTCCCCTGGAGGAGGGAAAGGCTACCCACTCCAGTATTCTGGCCTGGAGAATTCTGTGGGCTGTATAAACCATGGGGTTGCAAAGAGTCGGACACCACTGAATGATTTTCACTTACATGTGATCAAGCTACGCTATTCAGAACTACAGACTCAATTCTGTGACTTTTGTTAGAACTTCTGGAAAAGAAGCGTGCTTTTCCCCTGGAGTTGCTGAGATAATAGAATATAAGCCTAAAGCTACTCAAAGTCATCTTGCTACCACTTGAGTAAGAATGGGGCCAACTTGGAGGAAAACAGAACCAAGAGCCAGAGAAAAAGAGAAAGTGTTTTCTGATGGCACTGCTTGAGAGGCAGCCATGCCAGGAATTGCATTACAGTCATGGATATTTTTTAGTTATGTCTGCCAATAATTTTCTTTTTTGCTTTGGCCACTTTGAACTGTATTTTTGTCATAGATGAATACACAGAGAAATACCAGAGGTGTTAGAGTTTGAACTCAGAGGAAGAAGATTATCAGTGGGAGCTGCAGTGGTCTGGGAAATCAAAATGTTGGCAATGACATTTATAAGGCTTTGAAGGATGGCTCAGATTGCATTGTTTTATTAGACACAGCCTCTCCATCATGCTGTGGGGTTTGTGCTGAGTAGTGTGCGTCCTCCTGCCTGGCCCAGGGACGACCCACTTCCATGTACCCTCAAGGTCAGTTTTTAGGAAAGGAGGGACAGCCACCCCACCTTTATTCTGTCTGCTTGGCATGAGACATGGCTTAGACCTACTTCAGCTTACAGTAGCTCTGTGTGCACAGAGAAGATTAGAGATGCTATCAGTTTTGGCCATTTTGATAAGAAGAGAGACAGACTATGTTATACACTTGGTTTCTCCCTTTGTTCTCATCCCAGAATATTTTCCCTGGTGAATCTAGCTGATGTGAACATCAAGGACAGCCTGAAAGGACAACTTGTAGGCTGTAGACAGAGATGGATTGGGATGCTTGCTCTGAACCTTTAGAACCAAACAGTAGAAATGTCTCCTGTCATCCCCCCTCTCTATGCATCAGTGCTCAGGTGCCTTCAGCAGAGGCACTAATTGTGGCACCTTTGGAAGAAGTCTTTGTGTATCACCGAGGCTGTTCTTCTACTGCACCCTGTAAGGGGAAGCAGGAGTGAAAGTGGACAGATTTTCCAAGCAGGCTTAAGCTCTGATGTCCTTCACGCTGCTGACTTTGGCATCTCTCTTGCCGTCGAGCTGTGATTGCAATCATCATCTCGGCAGGCATATCACAGCTCCAGTTAGACTGCAGATGGTTTACACCCAAGCCAACAGAAAATGTGCATAATCCATGGGCTAACAGATCCTCACAAATCCTCCAGAGACAGCAGGACATGCAACCTATGCCCAAGCTGCTTTCATTTCTGCAAATTCCAAACTGGTTAGACAGTGAAGCATCAAAAGCAGGCATTTATGTAACAGTAAAAAGGTAGGCTGATTATGTAGTGGAGTGGCTTTGCATTTTAAATTGAATTTATCTCTTTCTCTCTTTCACTTACTTGTCCTTTTAACTAGCTCTGAATCCCAAACCAAATGTTACTACTCCAGTAAGTTCTAGTTAAACAGAATGTTTCTCTTTTTTTCCTTTTTCTTTTTCTTTCCTGTCCTCACCTCTCCTCTTTCCCCACCCTCTCTTTCTTTTCTGTGCATGTTATTGATTCCACTCTTATGAGAAAATTGCATAAAAACAAACAAACACTAAAGCAGTCAAGGCAGGTTGGTACAGAGGGAAGATCACCAAATGTCTTTTTCCCCTAGCTTCATCTTTATGCTCTGTGGACCTTAGTTTCCAAATCTATAAAATGTAAAGCTAGGAACACTATATTGTTTTGTTACCATTGTTCTAACAAATAATCATAAACTTAGTAACTTAATACAAATTTATTATCTTACAGTTCTGTAGGTAAGAAGTCTAATACAAGGCTCATGGGCTAAAGTCAAAGCGATAGCAAGGTTTCATTCTTTCCTGGAGGTTCTAGGGGAGAATCTGTTACCTTACCTTTTCCATCTTCTAGGAGCCACTACCTTCTTCAGTTTGTTGCCCTTTTCTTTCATCCTCATAGCCAGAAACAGCAGGTCAGATCCTCATGTCCTATCTCTCTGACCTGCCCTTTGGCCTTCCTCTTCTATTTTTAAGGACTCATGTGATTACGTTGAGTCCACCAGGATGATCCTAGATAATCCGCCTGTTTCAAGCTCCTTAATCTTAATCACATCTGCAGAGTCCCTTCTGCCCTGTAAGGTAACAGAGTCACAGATTTTAAATAATCTATCTGCAATGCAGGAGACCTGGGTTAGAATTCTGGGTTGGGAAGATCCCCTGAAGAAGGGAACGGCTACCCACTCCAGTATTCTTGCCTGCAGAATTCCATGGACAGAGGAGCCTGGCAGGCTACAGTCCCTGGGGAGACAAAGAGTCGGACACGACTGAGTGACTTTCACTTTCATGTCTTTGCAGAGGGTTCAGTATTATTCTGCTTACATGTTAGTGAATCCCTAAGTTTTTATACATATTGAATTCTCTTTGTGGAAGCTTCCTGTCTTCCCATCTTGTCCTATAGATCAAGACTATGATCTAAGTCTAACTCAAGTTCAACTCAATCTCTGATAACCAAACTGGTAATTAATAGGGCAATTTAGGTTCATTGGTATGCAAGTTAGCTTACATGTTTTAAAAATGTCTGTTTAATTGAAAAATTTTTAATTGGAAATTTCACATAAAAACACAAATTTCCAGCTTCTCTCAAAGGAGCAACACTACCACCACCACCAGCAAAACAGGAGAATTTGATAACACTAGGCTATTTTTTTTTTTTTTTTACCCTTCGCATGACAACCCTTAACCAGAATTGAGTAGTGCCTATTGGTTATGGTTTTTCCAGTGGTCATGTATGGATGTGAGAGTTGGACTGTGAAGAAAGCTGAGCACCGAAAAATTGATGCTTTTGAACTGTGGTGTTGGAGAAGACTCTTGAGAGTCCCTTGGACTGCAAGGAGATCCAGCCAGTCCATCCTAAAAGGAAATCATTCCTGGGTGTTCATTGGAAGGACTGATGCTGAAGCTGAAACTCCAATACTTTGGCCACCTCATGCGAAGAGTTGACTCATTGGAAAAGACCCTGATGCTGGGAGGGATTGAGGGCAGGAGGAGAAGGGGACGACAGAGGATGAGATGGCTGGATGGCATCA